TAGAAGATTTATAACATCAATTGAAAAATTTAGGAAATCATTGGTAAAATTTAAAAAAATACACATTAGAAATTGACTAACAAATACAAATAAGAGAAAGAGATACGAGGATTGCCCATGAATCATAATCATAATAAAGATAAATCATAAAAATGAATTTGAGCAGGAATGAGAACAACAGTTTGGACAAAGAATGTAGACACAGACGTTCTGTGAATTCTGGTCCCCCATGTCCTTTAAGAATGCAGACATTCATGTACAAATAAAGCCCCATGTCATTTCTTTGATCAAATTGCTTTCTGTGGAGGCACAAGTAGGAAGTATATTTTACTGCCTGGGAAAGTGGCAGGATAATCCCTACCAACGGCTCCTCTGACTGGGATCTTGGTGGTTAGAACAGACCAAGTTATGACTGCTTGTGAGGTTGAGTCAGGGTAATGACTTTAGAAACCACAATAGATTCAAAGCAGCTGCTAATATCAGGGGACTATCAAAGGACCTTTACATCCAGTTAAATGTCAAGGCCACATGTAGATTTTAACGCGGTAATATTACCTGATGATTCCTGCTCCCTAACGTCAAAAATTCAGAGAAGGCTATGACAGAGAAGGCAGAGAAAGAAGTCAGACAGCCCAGGGACAGGAATGTTGGGTTTTTGGGAACCCTCAGAAAATATCCCTCCTGCATATATTTGTGTCCATGTTCTCACCCCAGGAAAATAAGATTATATTTACACATAATATTTCTGAAAATGTTTTCTAAGCAATATCATATTCCTCTAAGAATCTGTCTCTTTATATAAAAAAAAGTTTCACTTACCAAATGTCGTTCCCTGCTGGGATAGCAGATGTCGTGGTCAGATTTGGAGCATGTGTGTAAAGGGGGCACCTTACCCTTGAGATAAAGGTTTGGGTTCCATGATCTCATCTCCCTGCTGGGGAGTGATCATCATTTTACCTGTAAGTGCAGTGACAGTGTCTGCATGGGGACTGGAGATTATCTCTGAAAAAAAAAATTGTAAAATGTACAAATTACTAGAAGCTATTAGTAGTGATTATTTCAGAAAGAAAGAGAAGCAGGAACAGCTAGGGGAAAACAAAGCTAAGTTGTCCAAAAAGTATCAGGTGGAAATGACAGATGAGACAAGGACACTAAGGTGTATAAAGTAAGAGAAGGATGCGTAGTTCAAGGCTGCACTGTGTTTCTGCCAAACCTGAGGATTTTGCCTCCCCAATATGATTCTTTTTCATTTCTCAGGACACTGCCCAATCGTAGCCTAGAAGGAAGAGGAAAAGAAAGAACCATTAAGTAAAAATTGCAAAAGTGTTACAAATGAACATGAAGAAAGTGAGGCAACTTTTATTCCCTACTTCAAAAAACACCTCAATAGACACTTTTATTGAGGTGTTCAATAAACACCTCAATAAAAAGCACCTAAAGTACGTCATACACTATTCTCGGTGTATGTGATATATGAGGGGTTTGTGTGGAAGAACTTGCTCTATTGAAGTTCAGAAAGACGGATATTAGACAATAATGAATAATAAGTATACATCATGCTATATGATGATAGGTGCCTTGGGGGGACAAAAGTTGGATTTGGGGAAAAGCAGGGAATGACAGTGTGCGATATTAAATAGAGTAGTAATGGGAGACCTCATGGACAAATGGATACTTCAGGCAAGACTTGAAAAAAGGTGAAGAATTAAGCCATGTGGCATTTTTGTGCATATGATCCAAGCACAGGCATCAGCCAGTGTCATGTCCCATGCAAAGCCAGGTGCCGATGCCCATGGAACTAGATGAGTGAGGGGGAGAGTTTAAAAGAGGAGGTCCGAGGGGCACGTGGGCTAAAGACCTCTGAAGCTCTTCAGGGTCTTGTAAAAATTTTGAATCTTCTCTAAGTAAAATGAGAAGCCTTTCCAGAGTTTTGGTCAAAGATGGACATAACCTGAGCTAGTGCTGATGGCCTGGTTGTTAAAGTTCAGCATCCTCTGCTTCAGCAGTCCAGGCTTGGTTCCCCGGTGTGGAACCATACCACTCGTCTGTCAGTAGCCATGCTGTGGAGGTGGCTCACATAGAAGAACTAGAAGGACTTACAACTAGAGTATACAACTATATACTGGGGCTTTGGGGGAAAAAAAGAGAGAGAGAGGAAGATTGACAACAGATGTTAGCTCAGAGCAAATGTTTCCCAGAAAAAAAAAAAAAGACGGACATTACCTGATTTGTACTTTAAAAGGGTTATGTTAGCTGGAGAGTTGAGAATACGCTGGAAAAGAATAAGCGTAGGATAAAGATCAGATAGATGATGGTTGCAGAAATCCAGGTAGAGGATGGCGACTCTAATCAGGCTCGGGGCAGGCGGTCATATTCATGATATATTTTGATGCAAAGCAGTCAGATTCATGATATATTCTGAAAGTAGACCCAATCAGATTTCCTGTAGGACTGTTCTGTGGTATGAAAAAAATGAGTCAGGGATGACCCCTAGATTTTTAGTCTTAGCAACTGGAAAGATGGAGTTGGCATTGACTGAGAATGGGAAAGCTGTGGCCAGAGCAGAGTTAAAAGAAAGCTGACACTGATAACACCAAATGCTGGTGAGGATGTGGAGCAACAGGAACTCTCATCATTGCTGGTGGGGATGGAAAATGGCACAGACACTTGGGAAGACAGTCTGGCAGGTTTTTACAAATTTAAACATAGGGTTACCACACAATCCAGCAATCATGTTCCCTGTTATTTACCCAAAGGAGCTGAAAGTTATGCCCACACAAAAATCTGCACATGGATGTTTATAACAGCTTTATTCATAATTGCTAAAACATGGAAGCAACCAAGATGTCTTTCAGTAGGTGAATGGATAAATAAACTGTGGTACATCCAGAAAATGGAATATTATTCAGCACTAAAAAGAAAATGAGCTATCAAGCTATGAAAAGACATGGAAGAAACTTAACCGCATATTACTAAGTCAAAGAAGCCAATCTGAAAAGGCTACATACTGTATGATTCCAACTATATGACATTCTGGAAAAGGCAAAACTATGGAGACAGTAAAAATATCAGTGGTTGTCAGGGGTTAGGAGTGAGGGAGGGATGAATAGGTGGAGAATTTTTAGGGCAATGATACAGAGAAATTTTAGGGCACTGAAACTAATCTGTACGTATGGAACTATAATAGTGAATACACGTCACTATACCTTTATTCAAACCCATAAAATATACACCAAGAGTGAACTCTAATGTAAACCATCATCTTAGGGTGATAATATGTCACTGGAGGTTCATCAGTCGTAACAAATGTACCACTCTAGTGGGGGATGTTGATAATGGGGGAGGCTATGCATGTGGGGACATGGGGTATATGGGAAATCTCTGTACCTTCCTGTCAATTTTGCTGTGAACCCAAAACTTCTCTAAAAAAATAAAGTTTATTTAAAAAATTTTTAAAAAAGAAAGCTCAAGAGAAGTTTGAAGGTGTTGAGTCTGTGATGTCTACTAGATGCCCAGGAATAGGTTGCAAATAGATAATTAATTATCCCTGGATTTTTGGAAGGAGATACACATTCGGAAGTTTTGAGCTTATAACGCTATTTACAACCATGCCATTGCACAAGATCACCAATAGAATGTGTATAGATTGCGAAGAGAGAAATGACTGATGATTGAGCTCTTGTTTATCACAATGTTAAAGGAAAGCATTTTTTTTAAAGCCAGCATATTCAGTTAGAATACACACAAAAAAATCAGTGGTGTCAAAAGCTGCTGAAAGGAACTTTAAGGAAAACCTTAGATGTCATTATTGTTTATAGAAGTTCATTAATGATGATGAAGTTGTGAAGACAAAAACTCTCATTTGAATGAGTAGAGAACTAGTCATGTGTTGCTTAACAATGGGGCTATGTTTTGAGAAATGTGTTAGATAATTTCATTGTGCGAACATGAGTGTACTTACGCAAATCTAGACAGTATGGCGTACTACACATGTAGGCTATGTGGTACTAACCTTATGGGACTACCATTGGAAATGCAGTCCATCATTGACTGAAATGTCATTATGTGGTGTATGACTGTACACAAGAGTTCAGGTAATAGAAACAAAGAGAGAGAAAAGGTTCATAAAAGTTTAGCCATAAAGAGTGAGGGAGAGAAATGGTAGAACAGAAAATGTACTAGATCATAGAGTGAAAGGTAGTTATTTTATGAAGTACACAAACTTTATCAATGTTATTTGTAAAAGAGAGGAAGAGACTGAAGATCAGTGATGGGTGGCTTATTAGTCAAGAAACTTGATAAACCAAGAACAAAACCCCTCAGAAGCTAAGACACAGGGAAGTCATCCTTAGGTGGCATTAATGGAGGGATTGACCCTAAATTGAAGGGAGGCATCATTTCCATTTCAACAGAAGGGAGCCCATAAGAGATTTGTTCTAGATTTAGGAGGCAGAAGGTGTTGTCAAAAGAAATCAAATAATTTTCTATTCTTGGGGCTGAGCCGGTGGCGTAGTGAAGTTCACAGGCTCCACTTCGGCAGCCTGGGGTTTGCGGGTTCGGATCCTGAGCGTGGACCTAGGCACTGCTTACCAAGCCAGGCTGTGGCAGTCTTCCCACAAATAAAGTAGAGGAAGATGGGCATAGATGTTAGCCCAGGGCCAATCTTCCTAAGCAAAAAGAGGAGGATTCACAACAGATGTTAGCTCAAGGCTAATCTTCCTCACCCAAATAAATAAATAAAAATAAAAAATAAAATAAAAATAAAATAATTTTCTATTCTCTGTATAAAAGTGGCAGAATATTAATATAGACAGAAGTAATCCTGGAAGAACTTTATAAAGTAACATATTTATTTGGCATTCTTGAGATTTTAGTGGATATACTGAGCTAGGAACACCAAGCTGGACAGGCAAGTAACAGAAGAGGGGAAGGGGCTGGTGGAATAGGGGACAGCTGAGGGATCCACATAAAGTCCTTGACCAGGATTTGGGAAGATTTTAAGTGATAGATCAGTAATGACAGCTCTTTGAGTAGATGGACTAAATTATTTACAGATAATTAGGACAATTCAGGCTAGAAGAGAGGTCCCAGATTATTTGGACATTCTTCAACTAAGTGACGTGAGGCTTGAAGGTGGCAGAAGTTAGTCAGCTAACCAGTACTAATCAAAATATGGAGTCTTTTTAGCCAATGGAAGCAGTAGATGTTAGAACAGTGATTGTTGAGTCCGGGGAGTTACTTGGCTCTAAAGAGTAGAGAACAGGGCTGGCCCCGTGGCTTAGCGGTTAAGTGCGCGCGCCCCGCTACTGGCGGCCCGGGTTCAGATCCCGGGCGTGCACCGACCCACCGCTTCTCCTGCCATGCTGAGGCCGCATCCCACATACAGCAACTAGAAGGATGTGCAACTATGACATATCCACTGGGGCTTTGGGGGAAAAAAAGGAGGAGGATTGGCAATAGATGTTAGCACAGAGCTGGTCTTCCTCAGCAAAAAGAGGAGGATTGGCATGGATGTTAGCTCAGGGCTGATCTTCCTCACAAAAAAAAAAAATAAATAAAGTCCAAAAAAAAAACAGTAGAGAACATGTTTGTGACCTCAGATCGTGGATCTGGCCTTCTCCTCTATCTGCAACCAGCTTATGCTCCATGCTGTAAGTGGCTGGCATGTTCAATTGGGCCAAGGGTACTGGCGCAGGGTACAAGCACACTTCCCTAATTGTTGGGATCTAGTGGTTGTGCTATAAGTTCCCATTAGAACCATAAATAGGAATTATGTATTCCACTACAAATAGCCTATGACACATCATGAGATGCCACTGAGTCCATATAAAAATCAAAGTGAGGTTAGTGTACAAAGCAAAAATAAGATTTCAAGAAGCCCTTAGCGTTCTGGATGTCAAATCAAAGACTGCAGAATTGGAGTAAAAAAAAAATTTTAGAATTTTAAAAAAATCTTAAAACTGTAGCTCAGCTTTGCAACATGTCTTCTCCTTAAAACAAAAGGCAACTAGTGAGGGTCTTTGTAAGAGATGGTGACTGAGCAAATGGAATATGGAGACTGCAATAATGGTTCTCTGAGGCCGCCCCCATGGCGTACTGGTTAAGTGCTCGCGCTTCGCTGCTGGGGGCCCAGATTCGGATCCCAGGCGCTGCACCGATGCACCGTTTGTCAGGCCATGCTGCGGCGGCATCCCATATAAAGTGGAGAAAGATGGGCACGGATGTTAGCCCACGGCCAGTATTCCTCAGCAAAAAAAGAGGAGGACTGGCATGGATGTTAGCTCAGGGCTGATCTTCCTCAACGGAAGAAAAAAAAAAAAAAATGTTCTCTGAGATGATAACAGTGTAGGTGGATGTTGTGCAATGAAGTCACCATCAGGGGTCTCAAGAAATTTTCCGTGCAGAGATCATCCTCAAGTTTAACTCCAAGTTTAACAGTAATTATTGATATGAGGATTTTTAAAACTGGTTTTAATATTCAGGTATCTCACAATTTCAGAGCCAGAGAAAGATTAAACACTTTGTATTCCCCTAATTCATTCTAGACAATCAGGCTTTAATAATGTCATGTTGTATAATTCAAATGCTGTTGATTTCTGTCATTATAATTGGGAGAAATTATCATGCCCTAGATATTGTACTTCCAAAAGCATTGTAGGTTGTCACAACTGTACCCACCTCAGGGTGATCTTTGGGCCTACAAAAAATCCTGGCATCCAGGCCACAAATTAGGACCACAGATGCCTGCAGTCTTTCCTAGAAGGTCTTGTGCAGTGTGCAGCTTTTTCTGAGACCAAATATGGCTTTCCAACACCAATTCTCTGATTCTCCAACACCAACTGGGCGTCCTACAATTCAAATTCAGACTACTTGGAGTTAGCGCAGACCCCACAGTTAAGGACTCAGTTCCACAAGACTGCCTCCACTTCAAATGCAATGGGGTCCCTAGGCTACCCCCACTTCTGCCAGGCCAACTACCAACTTGGAGTTCCTACAAGACCCCCTCAGGTTTGATAATTTGTTCTATAACCTAGAATGACTTACAGAGCCCAGGAAAATGCTATACTTCCTATTACAGTTTATTACAATGGGCTTAAGTCAACAGCCAGATGAAGAGGTACACAGGGTGAGGTCCAGAAGAACCCCAAGCACAGGAGCCTCTATCTCAGTGGAGTTAGGGTGTACCCCTGTTCCTGGCTGGAAGTGTTTACCAACAGGGAAGCTCCCCAAACCCTACTGTTCAGGGGTTTTTATCAAGGTGTTATAACATATGCATGGTTGACTAAATCATTGGTAACTGAACTCAATCTCCAGTTCCTTCCCCTCCCCACATGTCAGGGGTGGGGCTTAAAGTTCTAACCCTCTAATGTTTGGCGACCAGCCCCCATCCTGAAGCTCTTTACTGGCCTCCACCATGAGTCATTTCATTATCATACAAAAGACACTCATCACTCAGGAAATTCCAAGGATTTTAGAGGCTCTGTGCCAGGAACTGGGACAAACACGAAATATTTATTTTTTTATTTTACCACAGAGATGCAGATTAGGGAAAAACCTGTAGTTAGAGGTACTCTCTGACATCATACTGTCTCCTCTGACGCCCTCATGAAAGCTGTCTACCCCTTCACACTGGCAGAGCTCAATTCTGTTTTCAACCCACCCCACACAGTGAATAAAATTCCCAAGATTAAAGGTAACTTAAACAATAAGACTTTTATTATTGCACAAACCAGAGCAACGTAAGGCAGAGAGATCCCAGGTCAGTGACTTGGAGGCTAGAAAATCCATCAAAAAAAAAAAAAATCACATAAGACCAACAATGCCATGAAGAAAGTAAAACTTTACAAGCCACCAGCAGTTCCCAGACTGGGTCCTTTGGGCCCAAAGTGGGTCAGGTCCACATCATAACTAGTCAGAGAGAAGAGAGTGGAACCCGTCAGGGGCTCAGACTATGATTTCCTCTAGAGAATGGGAGAGAGAGCACAAACATCTGTCTTCTCTGAGCATGCTGTGGTGAATGATGCACACCATGAGGACCTGCCAGGTGGTAGAGGTGAGATGACTTCTGCCATAGAACCTGGCAGTGACATAATTCTGGCAAGGGTCCTGAGCAGGTCAGAATATGAAATGCAGTTCCTGAAAACTTCTCACATACCTGGAACTCATGGCAGATGGTTCCTCACAGAGGCTCTCTAGTGCCATCACACTAAATAAAGAGATAGCACATTCCCTGAAGATCTAAGGCCATTAGCTTATGTGGCAGTTCTCATGCTGAATGAGTTTAAATCTTTGGCTAAAGGCTTTCCCACAATTGCTCAATTCAAAAAATTATCTGGGTTGTGAAGTTTTTGGTGTTGAATCACAGCAGACTGTTAACTGAAGGCTTGCTCATGTCGGCTGCACTCTTGAGACCTTTATCTATTGTGAAGTTTATGGTGTTGAATGAGGCTGTAGTTTTGGCTAAAAGATTTTCCACATTCCCTGCACTCATAAGGCCTTTCTCCAGTGTGAATTCTCCGATGTAGAATGAGGCTGAAGCTCTGGCTAAAGGATTTCCCACATTCACTGCACTCATAAGGCCTTGCTCCCGTGTGAACTCTTCGGTGTTGAATGAGGCTAGAGCTTTGTCTAAAAGATTTCCCACATTCACTGCACTCATATGGCCTTTCTCCAGTATGAACTCTCCGGTGTTGAATGAGGATGGAGCTTTGGCTAAAAGACTTCCCACATTCACCACATTTATAAGGCCTTGCTCCAGTGTGAATTCTTCGGTGTTGAACGAGGCTGGAGCTTTGTCTAAAGAATTTGCCACATTCAGCACACTCATAAGGCCTTGCTCCAGTGTGAATTCTCTGGTGCCGAACAAGTTTGGATTTGCACCCAAAAGCTTTCCCACATTCGCTGCACACATAAGGTCTTTCTCCAGTGTGAATACGCTGGTGCTGAACAAGTTTATATTTGAACCTGAAGGACTTCTGACATTCACTGCACCCAAAAGGCCTTTCTCCAGTGTGGACTGTCTTGTGTTGAACAAATGTGTGCTTGTAGCTGAAGGTTTTCCCACATTCACTACACTCATACAGTCCTTCTCCAGTGTGGATTCTCTGGTGCTGGACAAGTGTACGTTTGCGGCGGAAGGCTTTCCCACATTCACCACACTTATAAGGACTTTTTCCACTGTGAAAGGCCTCCTCAAGCTCAGTACTGCTATGCATACTCAGTACTGCTTTGGGAGTGGCCTGGTTCTGGAGAAGGCCCACATTGACCAAGAAGTCCTTTCCAACCTCCTGACAGGTGAAAAGCTTCCCTGACGAATGGCTTCCATAGTTCTTCACAAAGGAGGCCCTGTCTATGTCCTTGCTGTAGGGTTTTTTCCCACTGTGCTCCTTCTGGTGTTGCTGAAGATTTGCACTGAAACAGAATTGTTTCCCACATTCCACACATGTGTATGATTTCTGCCCAGTATATATTCCTTGATGCTCAGCCAGATACAAAATATCTTTCATGACAGGAACACACATCTCACAAAGATGAGCCTTTTGAGTTGACTGATCTGGTTTTGGAATCCTGATTTGTGGCACTCTTTCCAGAGAAACACTCTGTCCAGAAGGTGCCTCCTCTATACCACACAAACAACCTGAAAACAGAGAAATGCCAGTGAAGTACATGTTGTCTCTGGGGACAAGTGGCAGTCACATCACAAACATGTGTTTAACACACCAAAGAATGAATATATGAGGTTGTTTGTAGAATAAGGGAGTTGGAGTCAGGATAAGAAGGGGCTGCTTTACAGTAATGGGACTCTAAAAGGTCACAGAAGTAGGGAGGCCTCACAAGATGAATGACATTAAGGATGGGATGCATAAAGTGAGGAGAGGCAGGCAGTTTCCAACTCACTTCTCTGAGAATCACCTTCAGCAGGGCCTTAGCTGCTGCTGACAGGTGAGCATTTTGCAGATGTTTTTGTCCAGAAACAGAAGAATTCCACTGTAAATGAGTAGCTGGCGGTCAAGGACTATTAAGGATATGTGCACACCACCCATTATGTATGAGCCAATGTTGGAGAACACTGCAGAGGCAGCAATGGAGAGGAATGGGTAACAGGTGGAGACAGGAAGGTTGGGAGCAGCCAGTGACTAGAAGTCAGAATATAAATGACAAGCTGACCAAGTATAAAGAACGGGGGAAAAAAGGTAAAAATGAGGTGTGGCCACCAGCAATGGCACCAAAACACTAGTTTGAACAGGTTCTTGGTATGCTGTGAACACAACCCTGATGTCATGTTCTCCCTCAGCTGCTGCTCAGCAGGGCCCAGCCCCCTCTAGCTCATCCTGCAATGGTGGGAGTAATATCCATTTTGTGAAGCACCCAGAACTCTCCCCTCTCCCAACCTGAGTTGAGCAATTATATGGGACCTGAATAACACAAGTCCTAAGGGAAAGACAGGACAGGTAAGTGCCTAGTACCAGCCCAGGGCAACTTATCACATGACAGACCACAGGAAAGAAAACTAAATGTTACAAAAATAACCTCAGATGAGGGTCTCACAAGAACAGCTTGAGGTGCACATAAGTAGTGACCATGTCAGTGATGACAATTCCTGGCACAGGTACGCATGAAGAACTGTAAGTTAGAAGAAGAGAGCAAAACTTGAACCATGTAAGTACCATGGATCTGGAAAGTCACCCAGCCAGGGAGGGGGCAAGCAAGGTGGGATCCATCAGGCTGAATGCAACACTACACAGAAAGATTACCCCAAATCCTTCCCTACTAGGCTTCAGGGTAGCATGTATCAGGGCTGCAGGGAGAGAAGACGGCAGTGCAAACACCCCAGCCCTAGCAACACAGCAACTAGCCATGGAACTGGGAAAGGAAGGAGTGCCATGGTCTGGATATAAGAAGGACAGAGCAGCCCCTAGGGAAAAGCAGACAGGCAAAGCCTATCCCAGGTCACTGGGGAGGGTGAGGGCCTTACCCAGTGAGGATATGAGTGCAAAGTTCTCCAGCATCACATCATGGTACAGGTGTCTCTGAGCCTCATCAAGGAGGCTCCATTCCTCCCAGGAGAAGTACACGGCCACATCCTCCAAAGTCACATTGCCCTGTCATGATGAGGCCAGATGAAACCACAGCCTCTGTCCTGGGGACACACAATCCCCCCCCACACACACATCTACCGCACGCCCACCGTCCTCCCAAGCTCCTCACCTTAGAGGAGATACCAGGAACTGATGCGATTGATGCTGCTCTCTCCTTATGCTTCCATTAATCAATGTACCCAGCCCGCAGCAACTACAGGCAGGTAGGCAGATAAGACACTATCTACGGTCAGGGACAAGACTACAGGGCCTCATCCCTTCCTGCTAGGCAATTTCCTTGGGGTCCTCCAGATCATGCCTCACAACACAATACAATCTGGGGTCACCCTTCACCCTTAAGTCTTCCGTACCAGAGCCCAGAGCCCATCAATTCATGCTCTCTCTCTCTACATGCACCTGTCTCACATCTTCAGACCCCACAGTTGCATCCCACAGTCACCGCCAACTCCGTGCTCCACACCATAGTCATCTCCTTGGACTCACCCAACGACTTGGCACATGGCATCCAGAGAGAGTTTGACAAACTCTAACAGGAACCAGTATTACCCAAGACCTCAATGGAGCTCAACACCAGGGGGAGCACTGGAGGCTGCTTTGAAGGACTCTCTGCCTGTCTCTAATCCTTGCTTCAACATTAGTCACACAGAACCAAATGTGAATTTTAGATACCCATGGCCCTCTTCCATTTCTATGCTGCACTTGTTGTCCCCTCAGCAGCCAAATCCCTCCTCTTTCCACCTAACCCTCATTAAAAGCCCAGCCACACTGGTACTCCCACCAGACGTAGTGATTCTCACAGATGAGCACATTTGCCCATGGCCTTATGCCCCAGCGAGACTGAAACACTCCATATTCCACCAAAGCTCACCACAAAATTCTAGTAAATCCATCTTATCTTAATCAGTCCTAAGCCTCCACATCTGTCTCACGGTCACTCTTCCCTTGGAAGTCTTGGCCACCTGTCAAGACTATCCTCCCCACACATACTCCTTTCACAGCAACTTCTCTCTCATACAATGTTTATTATGCTCATAACCCCCAACTAGGTGCCCAAGCAACAGACCTGGTCCTCAGAACTCATACTCTTCTTTATGACCCCCTAATATCATTACCATGACCTGAATTCCTCTTGTGAGTATGATTCACAGCTTCACCATGGTGCCCACAATAGCCACCACTTTTGGATGTCTCTATCCTGAACCCCTCCCCAGATTTCCAGACCTCTGGGTCCAGCTGCCCACTTGATGCTACCACTCACTCTCTGAAATGTCTTAGAATCTTAATATGGCTAAAAACAAAACTCTGATACCCCTCGTGAAAATCACTCCTACTACTGATTATCCCATCTCAGTTGAAGCTTCCATCCCTCTATCTGCTAAAACCAAAACTTTAGTGTCAACTCTGACTCTTACTTTTCTGTCTCTCACCCTCAAATTGAGAAAATCTGGGCAGCCCTTCTTAAAAAATGGATCCAGAATCCAACCACTTCTCCCACCTTCACGGTCACCACTCTGGTCTGTACACACTCATCTGGACTATTACAATAGCCTCCTCCTTCACCTCCAAAGTCTGTTTTCCACTCTGCAACCAGATGGAGCCTGTTCAGACCTGAGTAAGATCATCTCCCTCCTCTGTTCCAAATCTCCCATTACCTCCAAAATAGATACTCAACCTCTCAGGCAGCCACATTACAGGACTCATTCCTCCCCCCCTGCTCTTTGCTCCTGACAGAAAGGAGACCTGTTGTACTCTGTTCTCAGCTCAGCCACACTACCAAGCATTTGTATATGCTGGTACTTGTTCCTCGGATAACCTTCTGTAAGTCTTTCCATTGGTGGCCAGAAATAAGAACTCCTCCAAACAACCCTCAGCCTGCAGGGGATTTCTTCCAGGTCTCCAAAAACAAGGGCTGGGATAATGGCAGGCAAAGAGCCCCAGGACACCACAATCTCAAAGTTCATATAGGTGGGGGCCGAATCAGGGAGAGCCTGGGCCACCCTCCACTTCTCTAAGTTCCACAAATTCTTCTTCAGCCACAGGGAGCTGTGGGCAGAAATAAGCCATAGAGGCTGGGACCACAGTGTGTTTCAGTGGGCTAAAACTTCTCGTGTACCTCTACCTGGCCCTGGAGACCAGGTGACCTTAGGCTGAATGACTAAACTCTGCTTCACTCCTCAGAGCTCCCTCCTCCCAGTTCTATGATTTTGGACGAGGACTCAACTCCCTGTGCCTCACTGTCCTCATCACCCCCATTCCAGTCTGTTCTCTCTCTGAGCAGCTCTCGGAAAACTTTTAAAAGCCTAACACACAGTGTTCCTCTTCCGTTCACAACACTCCACCGCTCCCAGGGCCCTTGGATTGAAGGAACAGCCCCTCAGCCTCCAGTGCAGGCGACACTCCTCCTCACACTGTTCACTCCACACAGAACACGGACCCCAGGTCCTTGACTCCCCCCGGCTCAGTCACCCCTCCAGGCCTTTCCCCCGCCGGGTCCTCCCCTGGGACCCTCTCCCACACCCGTCACCCCGGCTCTCAGAAACAAGCCCCACGAGCCCTCCCCGTCCCGGACACCGGGGCCTGGGCTGCAGGCCCGTGAGCGGCGCCCGCACTCGGGGCTCTAGGGCTGGGCTGGGCTGAGGGCGGGGAGGACGCGGAGCACGAGCACTGACCTGAGCCGGCTCCCTCCGCGCGGCCGCCGCCATCGGACTCTGCGGGCGGAGCGGGGCCGGGAGCGGCAGGAGAGGAGAGGAACCGGGCATGGCGGTCCCTGTCCCGGCCCTGGCGCGGGTCCCCCTGGCGGCGTCGCCGAGCCTCTGACCCGTCCTGTGCAGCAGGGACAGCGCCTCCTCTCGCACCTTCTCTGTCCGTCACCTCAGCCCCAACCCAAGGCTCTGGACGCGGAACTGACCCGAGAGCAGCCAAAATGACCGCCACGAGGAGGACTCCAGAAGTCCCGCCCTCCACGCGACGCGTACGCACAGAATCGTCTTCATCCTGATCCTTCATTGGCTCAATCCTGATGCCTCTCGGCGCGGAGTCCTCTGGGTAATGTAGTTCACAGCGCTCTAGAGGACGCGGCAAAGGGTGTTCTCACCTGGACCATCCGAAAGGCCCGGAAGGACCGCGAGGGTTCTAACAGGTTGGGAGAGGCCTTCGCTACTTCTTGAAGGGGCTGCACGCATATTTATGGGGAATGTTGTCTGCAGGTGATCACCAAAAGTTTTTAGAACCATTATTTCAGACCCCATGAAGCTCAGCAGCTCCCAAAGACTAAAAATATTTTAGATGCTCCCAAAGGCTGCAGATACAAATGGACAAATCATTCCATAACATCAGACATAAAATATGTATATTCTTATCTGTAAACTAATAAACATCATCTTATTGTTCTTCATAAGCGTGTAACCTGAAGCACTGGAGTCAATTTTGTGAGTATCTCTATGTTCCGTGAAGAACAAGAGGAAAGGACTCTAGATAGGGCCATGATGGGAAGATAGAAGAGGGATGTTGGGCTGCCCTGAAGCAGATGGACAAGGGTGAATCTCGGCCTCCAGTTCCCACGGAAAACATCTCTCCTGCCTGTATGTTCAGTGATTGTGTCCTACCCAGTGAGGAACACTGTTTTAGCCATATACTATTTCTTTCTCCATATTCTAAGATACATTCAATTCCTTTCAGGAATCGGACAAGTATCTCAAATGGAGAGCAAGTTAACAAAGGCTATTTTCGTATGGGACAGTGACTGCAGTGTTCACAGTCATAGCATATGTGCAAAGGAGGCATCTGAACCCCATGATCTCATTGCCTTGCTGGGAAATAATGATCATTTTTCCTATTTTTGAAGGGACAGTACTGCATGGGGAATTCAGATGATCTCAGAAAGGCAGTTGTGAAATGGAAATTACAGAAAGTTATTAATAATGTTTATGTAGTTCTTTAAAGATAGTGGTGGAAAGCTCTGTGGAAACATCAGTGAAGGGTGAAAAAATTTAAGACCTCAATGAAATTTGAGAAGTCACGGAAGTCTGAGAAGAGCTACAATCCAGTTGAGCATGTGACTGCTGGAACCTTGGTCACTCTGAGGATATTGTCTCCAAAACGTGATCCAGTTGCACACTGAGCAATACCAGCTTGGAGAGAGAGTGAAAGAGGACATTTAGAGTAGCCAGAAGAGTAAACATAAACAGGGAATCTCACATGTCTCGTTTATCACTGCTCTAACAAATGTTCATTGAGCACAGCAAGAAATCATATAGAATTGTATTTCTTACAAGAGTTATGGCAAATACTTAGTAAGCAATGCAAAAAATAGAAGCTAAGAATAATTTAACCAAATGAGAGTATGTAAAAAGGTACAATCTATGTAAGATGAAAGACACCAAAAAATTGAAAAATGAAAAGGTGAATTGAGTCCACAAAACTCCTTTGAGTCCCTGTGAATCACAGATGAACGTGTCCTTCAAGAACGGCAGTCTTTCATGGACAAATAAAGTCCCATCTCATTTTCTTGATCAAAGTAGTTACTGTGGAGGCAGAAATAGGGCCTAAGTCAGGTCAATCTTTCAGGGATAGTAAGAGGAAAATGCCCACCCTCTAGTTCTTCTGGATGGGATTTAAGCAGTTAGAACTTTCTAAATTATCACTGATCAAAAGCTGAAAGGATGTAAAAGTTTTACAAATCCCAACAAATCCAACAAATCCAAAGCAGGTGCTAAGTTCAGGATCTAACAAAATGCTTTTACATCTGGTTACAGTGTCACATTTAGACCTTAACATTCCTGGTCATTCCTGCTCTCCAACACTTGCAAACTTTTAATCATTTTTTTATTTAACATGACTTTTATCTCTCTAAACAGGAGATCAAGTTTAGGCTTCTTTGTACTGGCCAGAGATATTCACGACAGACGTAATGTTATGGACACAATAAAGGGAACCCTGCACCCATAAACAAAAGAGAAAGAAGATGGAAGTTTTTAGTCTCACGCTTATCACTGACTTTCGTTTTACAGACATACTATTACAGACTCCCACAGCACAGTGTGGTCTCTGAGACAAAACAATCAAACAACACACACACATGCACACTGTATGACAAATTTTTTAAACTATATTTTTCTGATGCTTCAACATCCCCACAAACAGGCTGTGAGCACCCCGCCCAGATGACCAGGTACCCCAGTGTGATAAGGCTGGTCCCTGCCACAAGTTCCCCTTTCTTGTCCTCCTGTGACTGTGACCTAGTGACATCCAAACACACCAATAAAATCCCTTCATGCCTTTTG